TTCAAAGAACCCATTCAAGCCCTGTTTCTGTTGTGCCTGGTGATGGTTGCTGCTTTCTGGAGACTTACAGAGGATAGAGGATGCAGTCTGGCAAGAAAGCAGGAGTCAAGTGGTCTTCTGCTTTGAACTTAGGCTGGGGAATTTGGATGTCCTCAACTGTAGCTATCATTCACTCATTCATTCAGTATTTATTCTGGCTCTACCACGTTCCAGGAATGTGTTTAGAGGGGATAAAGCATAGGCTTAGAAGGCATGTTGATTATAGCACATCTTGGCTGTGTATCTTCCCAGCTGGGTGACTTTAGGAAGACAGTTTTCTTTCTTTGAGGCTCATTTCTTCTTTTTTGGGGAAAAAAAATGTGGCTTGTAATACCTACTTGCAGGGTTGTTGTGAGGTATAATTTATATGAAGATCTTTATAGAGGTATCTGACATGTAGTAGACATTCCACAAGTGGTAACTTAATTTTTTATTGAGATATATTTCATTTGATGTGAATTTCACCATTTTAACCATTTTAAAGTGTGTGCAAGTGAGTGTTTTTTAGTATATATATTCCCAGTGTTCTGTAACCATCACCACTGTTTTATTCCAGAACATTTTTATCACTCAGAAAGAAAAGAAATCCGTGTTACCCATTGAGCAGTCACTCTTTATTGCCCTTTTCCGCCTGCTCTTGGTAACAACGAAACTACTTTTTGTCTCTATGGATTTGCCCATTCTGAACATTTCATATAAATGAAATCAATAAATGGCCTTTGTGTCTGGCTTCTTTTACTTTGCATAATATTTTAAAGATTCATCCATGTTGTAGCATGAGTCAGTACATCATTTCTCTTTATGGTTGAATGATACTCTCTTGTATGGGTATACCACATTTTGTTAGCCATTCATAAGTTGATGGACAGTTGGGTTTTTTCCACCTTTTGGCTGTTAATAATAATGCTGCTATGAACATTTGTGTATACGTTTTTGTTTGGGTATATGTTTTCATTTATCTTGCATATACACCCAGGAGTGGAATTGCTGGGTAATGGTAATTCTGTGTTTAGTTTTCTGAGGAGCTGCCATACTGTTCTCTGTGGCTGCCCATTCTACATTCCCCAACAGGAATGTATGAAAGTTCCAATATCTTTACATTCTTTACAACACTTGTTATTTTACTTTTATTTTTGATTTGAGCCATCCTAATGAGTATAAGTGGTATCTCATTGTAGTTTTGATTTGCATTTCCCTAATGACTGACGATGTTGAGCTCCTTTCATATGCTTATTGGTGTAGCCTCTTTTTATTATTTTTTCATTAAACATTTTTGTTTGATGAGTCTCTATTGTATGGATAGTTCTATGATATGGGCCCTACCCTGAGGTTACTCATACACCAGTGGATAAGATCTTTAAGCTGATAATTGCAAATAGTAAGATAATAGAATACAAAGAAGGTATGTAGGATGTGTAGATGTGTAATGGCATCTTTGAGAGCAGGGGACAAGATGAGTGGAAGCTAAACAGAGTTTGTCAAGCACACAAGAAAGAAGGGCATTCTAATTAGATGGAAGAGCCTAGAGCCTTGAGTATAGCTGGTAGGGCGATGAGGCCTCCTGTCATCAGATGGGGAGTGTCACCCATCTTAGGCAGCTAAGCAGGTCTCTGCCTCCAGAAGCAAGCCTGCCCCAAGCACTAAGCCAGCAGAAGCCAGCAGGCAATCGTTGCTGAGCTCTGTCATCCACTGCGTCTTTGTGTCTTTGTCTCTTTGTCGGGGCTCTGTTGTTTTCAAGGAACATTTACTGAGCTGATTTGATCCGACTTGAGGTAGATAGTGTATCTCCATTTCTACAGAGAAAAATTATGCTCAATGAGGTAGCCGCTTCCTGACATCTCACACCTACAAAGCGACAGAACTGGACTTGGAATCCAGGTTGTCTGATGCCTAGTTTATTCCCCATCGGCACACTGAGCCTCAGCTCTTCTTAACTTGGCATTCAAGGCCACTTATTTTCTAGTTCCCACCACCTTTTCTTCCCTTCTCACCTTTCCCTCCTGCCTATAACTGAACCATCTCGATCTTACCATTTCGATCTAAATATTTCCCCAGCCTTCCCCATTTGGCTTCTATTCTTTACCCCTCTTGTGTAGTCCAGATTCTTACCATCCTTTAAATGGCTATCCTTTTATGAGCACCAACTGTTGAAGTGCCATTCACTCTACTCAAGTTTTTAACACACCGAATTGGTAATCTTCACAATGTTCTGCAATGTGAGTAAGAATTATTTACTTCAATTCATAGATGAGGAAATAGCCTCAGAGAAGTAAATTAACTTACTCCTAACTTACCTAGCAAGTAAGGAGTCTAGCTCAAATGCCACCTCCTTTCAAAAGCCTTCCAGGGTTACACTGACCGAAGTGATTTCCCTTGCTCCCAGAATCCTTTAGCAGTTGCTTCTCCCTTATTCAAATTCAGCTTTTGAGATCTTGGGTTATCTTTTCTTGTGTTTTTATCTTATATCTTCAGCTGGATGTTTGTTCATCTGTGTCCCCAGGACCTAGTTTAGATCCTACAGAGTAAATTCTCAGTAAAGGTTAAGTAGAGGCATAGAAAGCAAAACTCTGGATCTGGAGTGGTCCAAGTTCTCCCCCATTCATGTTATGACACTAACTTCTGTGACCTTGCACAACAGTGAACTCTCCAGGATAGGGACCCTGTTCATCCTGCCCCTCCTTTATTCCTGGGCCTGAGAGTTGCATGCATGGATGCACAGACTTCACCATTTAGAACCTTATTTTTCTCATCTGCATTTTGAAAAATAGAATTGGATGATCTGAGGATCATTCTCCATCCAGATGTTAACGTGGTTTTGTGAGTCCGAATGATTGCTTTTCTCCGCACCAACATGATCCTGAGCTACAGAGTTTCAGCCCAGGAAGGCATAACATAGCTTGTCATTTCTAGTTTGGTGGCTCATGTCAAACTTTGTCCTCAACTTGTCAAATTGAAGACTAGCCCAGGAGCTTTGCCCCAACACATTCAGAAATCCTAATACCACCCTCATCCTCTCTCTCTCTCTTTCTCTCTTTTTGTCTGTTTTTTCCCACACACACACATACACAGACACACAAACATACACACACACACAAACACCATGGTAAGATAATTTCATCTGAAGTGCTTTCTTTAGGTTTTACATTTTAGCATCCTTTTAACTTCTAAGTCAGCAGTGATTTGTAGGAGGGAAACTGTTGCTCTTTTAGAAAACCCCAAGTCCCTATTGTTGTTCATGCCTAACCCGTTGGATGCATTTTATAGGCACAAAGAGTGCAAGAACGAGCCATTGTTGTGAAAATAGAAAACCAAGGGTTGCTCCTCTGCTCAGTGGGAAAGGCCATTTTCATCCGTAGGGGGTTGTTAACAAAGACCACCTCCTTTTTTTCTGAGCAGTTCATTTATCATCCTTACCCTACTTAAATCATTTCTTCATTTTTTTAAATTAAATCTCTATTCACTTTATGCTTAAGAGAAGAAAATGATTCAGAACACATTGACAATACCAATTATATTGTGCCATCCATCGAATGGCCAGTGTGTAGCAGGCACTGTCCAGTGGGTTGTGTGAATTATTGCTGTCATCCTCACAACCTCCATTATGTCCAGAGAGATTAAGGCCCTTACATACCTTCATCACTAAGACTGTTTGGGAAGATTCAGCATTTGAGTACATTCTGGAATAGTTATGTGCTTATAAGCTGCCTTCTCAGCTTTACTAACAAGTTGTGAGGAGAGAAGCCTGGCCTGGGAACAGTGTAAGAGCATGTTTAACACATGCAAATACATGCATATGTATACACACACACACACACACACACACACACCCCTTCAAGACTGGATTTAACTAACTACCTGGCCATATGCTACATCCAACATTGGGCAACATGCTACAAAACACATTTGGGATATAACAATGGGAACCTTTGAGGACTATGAGAAACAGCAATCTCTAAAGTGTCAATTTAAGCTTTGAACACAGTATTTTATCACAAGGGTACAGTTCCAGAAAAGATTGAGATTTTTACCTCTGGAGCGCTCTTGTTTGAACTTTTATTTTTGGACATATCCAGTGAGAGACAAATCTGGAAAGTCCAGTTTGAAATCTGTGCAGAAAAAAAAAAACAGATTATCTGAAGTTGAGCTTAAAGAATGAGAAAATGAGTAGAAATAATATCCTTTTGTATTTGTGTAGCACTTTACGTTCAGTATGTGTTGTCAGCACACGTAAGCAGTGGACGAGGTGCCAGAGGCCTCTTTCCCACTCCTGGCTGTTCCTCAGCTCATGCCGTTGGCAAGCCTCTTCCATTTCCTCATGTAACATGAGAGAGTTGGACCACTTGTTCACTGAGGTCCCTCAGACTCAGGCATGCTGAGATTTGATACCAGTAAAAAGGGGATAAATGTTATTCTTCCCCCGTCTGCCTTACCTTAGCCTGCCTTGTGTAGGGCTGTGGAGATACCCCTGCCCTTCCTTACATCCCTATCAGCTATACTCTCTCTCATGTCTATTGGTACTTGAGCTGACAGAAACCCACCAAGTTCTCCTGGGAAGACACTTGGCTTAGAAAGATCTCAGTTGAGTTGAGGGATTCATGGGCCATTTTAGTTTAGATCAGATAGCAATCTAAGGGCTGTTCCAATTCAAGATTCTAGAATTCCATAAAGGCCACCCATTAGGGTACACTTAGAGAAACCCCTAAGCAAATTCACTGGCTGCTATTTCAACACTTTGTATGACAGTGCTTTTCGCAAGCACCTTTGTTCCTAGAGTTTGATCTGCACTGCTATTAGGATGCCTGCATGCAAGAGGGAACCGGCCTTGAGTTTGTTTGTTTGTTTTTCGTTTTTAACTGGTCTGGCCTCAATTATTTTCTAGCATTTGAGGTTTTGGGCATTCTAAACTCATAATCACTCATTTTAACTCATGATGAACCTTGTTCTCTTGATATGCATTTTAGAAGACAAATCTGACCTTGAAAACAGTGTGATGCAGAAGAAAATAAAAATCCCCAAGCTTTCTCTTAATCATGTAGAAGAAGATGGAGAGGTTAAAGATTATGGGGAAGAAGATTTACAGCTTAGACACATCAAGGTAACAAAATCTTTTCTTTCTTTGGAAGTATGCGAGAACATTTTCAGATACCTCATAGCTAAAGAATTTCAGTCTGGCTTCCTTTCCCCATGTTAATGTCCCCTGGTATCAGAGGCCATGATTTTTTTCAGGGTAGGGAAAGCATGGGACAACTAGTGTGTATTTGCCTTGCTGGCCAACTTTCCAGAGAGCCCTGATTCATGCTGTGCCACCAAGCACGGTCCTGTTTGCATAGTCTGTGCAGTGTCATCGCTGTTGGAGGTTTGGAACGGTGTGTTTCTCCTTGGCCCACAGCTCTGGAGAGGCCACTGCTGAGCTCCAACAACGTTAAGCAGCTATTCTTGGGGAGAAGTTTAGGGCCAGTCACTGTCAGATTGCCCCAGATTGCTAAGGCTGGACTCATTGGGAAGTGCACGAGGTTCACAAAAGGGATCTGTGAGACCTTGGGTTAGATGAAAACGTTTGCATGAGGTTGTATTTTCTTGCTGTGTGCCCCAGTTGGTCTCCAGCCTTTACTTTGGAAACTGCTGAAAATCTTGTTCGGCAAGCTAGCTGTTTTCTTCTGTGCAGTAGATACCTGAGAGGAAGGGAGAAGGAAGATAAGGAAATGGGATGTCTTCTGCATTGCCCATGGTCTGATTTTGGACACAAGGTTGAGGGTGTTCCCAGGGAATGTAGCTGAGTTCAGTTTATGGCATTCACTGTACTCCTGCTATGGGCCTAACCCTGTGCTGGTACCTGGAGCCATTAGCCAGACATGGTCCCTGCCTCCAGGGGTCTCACATTATTGTGACGCAGACATATTTTAATGATCACTTTAGATAAATGATAAATTCATCTACACTGGTAGCACCTTATCCCAGCAGATAAAATGACTTAAGATTTTGTCATGTAACAGTATCAGAGTCATAGTTTCATTGGGCTGGGTGTAATTTGGTTTGGTTTTCCTTAAATTTCCTGAAACTTAGTGAGAAGTGCCTGTCCTCAGTCATCTGCACTTCCTACAAGTGCCCCAGTCAGGAGAGCTCCTAACCCTCCTACCCTGAGTGAAAGAATTCATTTGATCCTGTAACTCTCACTGCCCCTCAGTAGAAGCTGTAGCTACCTGAGCTAGAATTTCCTCTGGCGGTAGAACCCCAAGCCCTGGGGGAGTCCTGGATAATTCTTTTGTAAATTAACTTTCTTCTCTCTATCCACTGTCTTGCTGTGGGAGAGGCTGGCAGATGTGGGGGGAAGGAGCCTTGTACTGGAAGTTAGATTCCAAATTCTGGTTTTGGCTCTGTTTGTATCTCACTGTGTGACCCTAAGTGTAGTCCTTCCCCTCTCTGACCCTCAGTTTTCTCACCTGGAACATGAGGAAGTGAAACTGAAAGTACCTTTCAGCGCTAGAATTCTTTGAACTTTTCGGTTGAGTAAACATTTTTCAAGCCCCTACTGAGTGCCAGTTCTGAGTGAGTAGGCAAAGGAGGAACAGAGAAAATATGACATGTTTTCTTCCCTAGATTAGAGTAGACTAGAATTTTTAACATCCTTTCCATCTAAAGCATTCTTGATGAAAATTTACATGGTGAATTGCCTTTAGGGGAGGAATTTTTTGTTTTTGTTGTTGAAGAAATTTGTGACTCCTCTGGGATCAGTTGGCCTGGCCTGATTTCTCCCTGATTCTCCACAAATACATATTGAACACCCCCATGCGCAAGCCACTGCCTAGGCATTGTGGGTGGGCTGGGGCCTGGGGAGTTGGGAAGGGTGGTCATGGTATATGCATCCAGGAGGCAGAGTGGTGAAAGGAAAAAGTGCAGGCCTGGGAAATCAGTATCCTGGTTATGACTTTGGGCAAGCCTCTTCCCCACTCAGAACCCCATTTATAAAATTTATAAAATGTTTCCCCATTTGTAAAATGAAGGGCTTTGACTAAGTGTTTGCACAGGTTTCTCCAAGCACTGATGTTCTGTGATTCTGTGATTTTAGGATTGTCTGGGGAAATATTGAGCTGCAGTCCAAGAAAGTCCCAGCTGCCCTTGCCTGAACTGATTCTCGTTGTCCTACACAGAGACCTGAGGGGCGGAAGCCGAGCGAAGTGGCGCACAAGAGCATCGAGGCCGTGGTGGCTCGGCTAGAGAAGCAGAACGGCCTGAGCCTGGGCCATAGCACGTGTCCGGAAGAGGTCTTCGTGGAGGCCTCTCCAGGCACAGAGGACATGGACAGTCTAGAAGATGCTGTGGTGCCCCGGGCTCTGTATGAGGAGCTGCTGCGCAATTACCAGCAGCAGCAGGAAGAGATGCGCCACCTCCAGCAGGAGCTGGAGCGGACTCGCAGGCAGCTGGTACAACAGGCCAAGAAGCTCAAGGAGTACGGGGCACTTGTGTCTGAAATGAAGGAGCTCCGTGACCTCAACCGGAGGCTCCAGGACGTGCTGCTCCTGCGGCTTGGCAGCGGTGAGTGCCCCAGCAGGCCACCTACCACTCCACATGGGTGGAATGCTTCATCCAGATCCTCTTCTGGGAGGGGAAAGGGGAGAGGGAGACCAAGTGCCCCGGAGGCTAGGGAAGGACAGCCACTTGGCTTATCAGTTGTCTCAAAGAAGAGTCACTCCCACTCGTAGTGAATCTGATAGGAGCTTATGTATGCAGCAGCCTCAGCTATGGGAACATTGGCGAACATGGGTCAGAGAATAAGAGCTGACAAAATATTTGTCACTGCTCACTCATTTATGCATTCATTCAGCAAGCGGCAGTAACAGGGATTGTAGGGAACCTCTCCAAGGAAATTTCAGGATAGTAAAAAGAAGTAGACATGATCCTAACAACATGTATTAGTTTAAGTCAGAAAGTGATAAATGCCAAAGGAGAATGCTGACAAAATGGTATGAGAGTTCAGGGCTTGGAGTGGTTATTCGTAACTGAGTGCATGGAGAGACTTCAGTAAGGAACTGAGGTTTGAAGGGTGGGCAGTGTTTCAAGGCACAAGAGGAAGCTGAGCAGCACTCATGAGCATGGGAAAATACCTGGAGCACACTAAGAGGAATAATGCAAATGTGCTTTGAGGACAGAAGATGGAAGGACTTGAAAACTTGACCAGCCTGGGATGTCTGAACTTGTTTTGGTAGGAATGGAAAGCATTAGAAAGCTTTGAGCAGGGAGGCACATGACCTTAGGAAGATGAATATAAAGACGTATAAAACTCCTTTGGTTTGCTCACAGAACTTTAAATAGGTTCTTATATTGCACTCTATTTTAACTAATCAGGTTTTCCAATCTAAAGTGGTTTAGAAGCAGGGATAAAGAAATCTGAGAGGCAACAGCCTGGACTGCCAGAAGAAATGACTGCCTACCAGAGAGAAAAAGACAGAAAAATGCTTTCAGAACATAAGAATCCAGAACTGTAAAAGATAGAGCCCAGTCAGTATTGAGGAAATCAGTATAACACAAGTTCATTGCCTCCATAGCCCCTGAAGACAGTAATTGATAAACTCTGAGTCAGTGTGCTTTGCTTAAAGAAGGTGGTAATCTAGTCTAGGAATATCCTCAAAGTTTAAATAAAATATAGTTTTGCCCTTATGAAGGTTTTCATTATCTAGATAATATATTTAGATATGAAGCTTCGTTCTTCTTTCATTTATTCTTACCCTAATTTACTTATATTTGTAGGTGTCATTTGCTTCTTAAAGTATGTCCCCAAGGTAGTGGCTCAGTAGATCTTTGGATGGTCCAAGGAGTCAGTAGAGAGGCCTTTTCATGCCCTTGTCATAGAAAAGGAAACTACATTGGGACTTCCCCAGAGTCACTTAGGGAGGCAGAGGTAGAGTTCTGTCTCAACTCTAGTCACTCAGTTCATAGGCTGGAGTTTGTCCACTCCCGAACTCTACCATTGCTTTGGCAAATCAGTGTCCCAAATCATAGTCTACAGAGGTTCACAGGGACACGAAAAGTCGCATATGGTTTGCAGCTTCAAAAGTTAGTAAAGTTCTTTATTAAAAGAAAATCTCAAAGAGAAATCATAAATGTAAAAATTTGTAAAAGCTATATTGTTCGGTGATGGGGGATGGGGATAACTGAAATTTTCAGAGAGGAAAAAATGTTTCCCAATCTTAAAGTGAATAATTTGTATTTTCAGTGTGCTTTGTATGCTATGCCTTTTATGAACTTCTTGGGGGCTTGTGGGGAAGTACACCAAAAACAGAAATTCTTCGTACTTAATTCAACTCCCAGGGAAACTACCTGTTTTTCATGATTATGAATTGAGTTTAAACTCCAGAAACCACTCCTAAGCCTCTGGGGTGGTAAGATACCCTGCATTTTACATCATTATATGCCTCTTTTAGTCCTAAAACATGTAGAAAAACTTGACCTGAAGCATAGTTTCAGTGTCTTGATCTTTCTAGGCTCTCCCATCCCACAGGCCTTGAAGGCCATTGCACAGACCAGTGGATAGCTCTTCCCTGATCTGAGTCACCATCATCATTACAATGGGTTGGACTCAACATAAATCAGCTGGAGCCCCAAGTATGCATAGGGCACCCACCCTATCCTCTCAGGACTGCAGGCATCCTGGAAAATCCCACCCACTGTCCCTCATCCGTGAAAGCTTAGAAGTCTATTGATTAACACATGTTAATAGGAGAATGGTAATGTGCCAAGTTCCAAGACAAATCCACAAGAATAAAATAAAAGGGTCCCTACCCTTAAGAGGAGGTTGTATGTTTTCATGGCCTGGATTCAAATCCCAGCTTCCCTACTTCCCAACTCTGTGGCTTTGGGAAGCTCATGTCCTTCCTTCCATTCTTCCTTCCTTTCCTGTGACCTTATTTTCTTCCATGAACACTTGCTGGTCTCCTGCTACATGCCAGGGATCTTGCCTAGTGTAAGAATTCAGTATATTTGCAATACAGACCTTGCCCTCTGCCCTTGAGGAGTTTAAAGTTTGATGAGGGAAACAGATCCTGAAACAATCAATGACAGCACAGTACATAAATGCCATCACAGGGACAAAACCATAGAGGACTGTGGGACAGCAGAGGGAACTACCCACCAGATTTTGAGGGGTCAAGAGAGGGAAGGCTTCCTGAAAGAAACACCTTTTAGGCTGGAGCCTGAAGGATGAATTTTTGTTACCAAAACAGGAATCAGTAGATGGGGAGAGTGAGGAGCAATTTAGGCAAAGAGCGTGTATGTCTCTGACCCTCAGTGTTCTCATCTGTAAAATGGGAATGATCATATTACAGCCTTGTGACACACAGCATAGTGCCTGACATTCTGTTAATGCTTGATTACTGTTAGCTCCTGTTCAACGTCATGTAATGGAGGAGCTAAGATAGGGTTAACTTTGGCTTTTAACTCAGGCACCCCCAGCCTGTAGTTGGCTATATGACCTTGGGCAGGTTAACTAACTTCTCTGCCTCAGTATCCTCTTACAATATTGAAGATAAGAGGGGTTATATATGTTTGTTCATTTGTTTATTCATTCAGTCAGCTAACTTTGACCAAATGCTTTCTGAGCCTAGGAATTTGGGGAGATCCAAAGAAGACTAAGACATTGGGAAGCAGGAGAGGGTAGTGATGGAGGTAAACATGTTATTAAAACACAGAGTGCCAGTTCTGTGGGAGAGGTTAGCATCTAAAGGGAGAATTCTCTCGTGGAAAGTCTAGTAAGATATCCCCTTGCTGTAACAGATCGTGATCTATAAACACCACTAAGAAGGCAGAGAACAACCAGAAAGCAAATGAGAGACCCTTGTTTGACTCATGGCTTCACTTGCCCTCTGATAAACACGTCCTGGCTTAGGGTTGATGTAGGGCTCAGGCTTTGCCATTCTCTGCCCCCTGGGCCTCATTTGAGTGTTGCTCCTGGAGGCATATCCTTGAGTATTTTTATTTGTCCACCTCAGCTAGAGACCTAGCTCAAGGGCCTTTGTCTGGCTTGCGTGCTGGATCATTCACACCATAACAGGCAAATTCAGAGATGAGGGAGGCCAACAGGTCAGGAGGTGCTCAGTTTTCAAAAGAAATCTACCTGCCTGGAAGAATCATCATTTACTCACCCATGTAGTAGCGTCCTACGAGTGGTAGATGGTAGTGGAGAGCAGCCGCCTAGTCTTTTCAGACTGATGGGGACTCAGAGTGGGAAGCGGGTCTGTTAGCAGCCAGGAGTTATAATGGCACACCTTGGGGAGGTTGGGGTCCAAAAGGTGGAGCCACACCCAAGGGTGGGGGATAGCAGCAAGAGAGTATGTTTCAGAGGCTTCACTGAATCGTACATGTCTTCATTTGTACTTTTATTCATTCTTTCATTCATTCCACACACAAGAAAAGATGGGTTTAATCGGAAATATTCCAACATGGAGTCATGGATTTGTGAAAGAACTTAGGCTATAGACTGTCACCCTCATTTTGCTGATGAGGAAACAAGCCCAAAAAGTGTCACTGGCTTATTCCTGAGGGTCTCCTGACCCTGTCCTGTGTGCCTCTCTCTGGCCCCTCACCTGTATGACCTTCTTTAGCTCTTAGACTTCAATTTTCCCAGCATGGGGGTGTCCCCTCCATCCCCGTTGCTCCCCACAAAGGACATCATCTCTCTCTGTAAAACAGAACTTTCCTTGTCTGTGATCTTAGCGTGGCAAACAACCCCACTGTCCTCCACTGTCAAAATTAAATAAGGAAGCATATGTAATAACTTTAGCCCTGTGACCCCTATATTGTAAGTGTTCAATAAATGCCTGTCCCCTTTTCCTTTTTCTCCCTTTCCTGCCCGTCTTCCCCCAAATAAGTAAATGCCGAGGATGCAAAAAGCGTGGTGATATTCCAAGGTACAGATGTTTTTCTGTGTATATTCATTTATTCATTACTTTATTCAGTGAACAGTTATCAAGGGTATCCTTTGTTCTAGGACTGGGTTAGGTGCTGGGAATAGCGTAATGAGCAAGACAGAGTGCCTTTTTGAAAAACAGTGCGCAAGTAGATTAGAATGGTGTGTTTAAACGGGGCATTGGCAGCCACAGAGAATTTTAGGGGATGAAGGGAAGCAGAACAATAGAGACCCAGCTGGGGGAGGGTAAGCCCCCATGTGTGAAAATGGAGTAAATTCTAGGGTCTCTCTTGGTTTCTCCTCAGCTAGATTCCCTGTTCTTAGAAGGCAAAGTCCAAGGCTACGGTGTCCTCCCCAGTTTGTTACACTGTAAGTACCACTTAGATAGTATAATTCATTGTGGTGTGACTCGGGTAACGTTAGTTCAAATAAGACTCTCAAGGGCTCTGTGAGGAATCCAAAGAGGAACAGATGTAATCCTTGCCTTCAGGATGCGCACAAGTCTCACAGGGAATACGAACATGTACGCAGCATGACACCAGGCAAATAAAATCAGTGTTGTAATTGCAGGAGGGAGGCAGATGATGATATTAGATTTCGTGTGTGCTTTGTCAGGGAATATAGGCAAAAATGA